GGACATAGTAAACAAGTATATTTATACTACAAAAACAATTGGAAAAGGAGAACAAATACAGAACCCATTCATTTCTCAAACAATCCCTGCTTTCTAAGAATCTCACTGATCTGTATAAACACCAGTAGGTTCAAACTCACAGTGACCCTTTGAAGAGCAGAAAAGGCAATTTTACTCTGATCAAAAAACAGAAAAATCTAACATCATTGCAGTGTGAGCTTTCACTAAGTAAACACACTTTTAAAGTTCTTTTACGATAACGCTGTTCTGCATAGGAGTCATTCCAGTTAATGTCAAGGCAGTATAAATGATAACGCTAATATGTTATGGTATAAATGCATCTAATTTTAAACATCCTTTGCATATTAGACCATTTAGAGTGCATATTTGGGACACACACAAAAAGCATGTGTGTAGATATAGCAGGACAACGTGAACCTCTCTGCTCCTCTTTTTTCATTCCTGTTTTTGAGGGGGCCTCTGGAGCTTCACTCAATGTTGATGATGGTACTGGTGATGATGGCAATTGTTAAAATATGTAACATGGTGCTCCAGGAAGCATGATTCTCTTCTGAACCCAGCCACACAGCCTTTGAATGTTATGCTTTCGTTTAAAACACACAAATAATAAAGTAGACTTGCCATAAGAGTCAAATCAAGAGTTCAGACAGCCAAATACCTTCCTGATCAAGAAGCTGTGCATGCTCAATAGCCCAAGAGACAGCAGTGTAGTTTTTGACACAGTTTGAGTAGTCTCCTACATTAGCTCTGACAGTGTAGTAATTTGACAGTCACAATTGGTCACTGCTAGTCACCCTGTCTCCTTAAATTTGGCACGTATATAGTATCTAACTGCAGAGCACAAGCTCATATTTTCCTTTTAAATGATCCCGCTACTTATTATGTACAGCAAGCAGTAGGCAATCATCATTGTCATTGCCATGTTGCAGGAATGGTGGGTTGAGGACGAGAGACTATGGCCCACTTGCCCGGGGCAAATGAGTCCTCCTTGTGTGTACACTGGCTTTCAAGGCTGAGGTCAGCGACAGCTCTGGAAATTGAGATTTCTAATGGCAATGAATTCCTACTGTGGGCTAACTGGATAATAATCCAGTTCTTAATAAATTAAACTGATATAATTAAGTTTGGAGCTTTTGTTTAAAAGCTAAGCAACTGCTTCCTTTTTCCCTTTCCTCTCTTCATTTAGCATTTCAACCATAACCTCTCTTAAGCCACACCTTCTAAACATTTTTCCCTCAGACTCTTAAATCTTCATTCTAACTACTTATAGAATTTTAAAGATATATTTTCTGATCCTCCCTAAGGTAGTTTTAAGAAAAGGTATTTTACAGAGCACATTACCAAGAATGCTTTTAGTATAAATTAGAAGAATGTGACTGATGATTTTGCATTTAATTAAAGCAGTATTGTTTGATGAGAAAATCTGATCATAATTATAATTATATGGGAGTCTGCTTTACCAGAATGCCTCCTCATAGAATTCCATCATGTTGGAATTTTTAGGACTCTGATGTACCATTTAGGGATAATTTATTCACTTTGTCCTTTCAGATGGTTTAGCTCACCCACACAAGAGAGACTGTTTTGTCACAAAATACGGTAGAGCAATTTTGTATTGTCTTCCACAGCAGGTACAGTGGCACCTGGACTTGAGAACGTCCCTACATACAAACAATTCGAGTTAAAAATGGCTCCGTTCTCAAAAAGTTGCTTCGACTTGAGAATGGAGCCTCGACTTAAGAACAAAAAGAAAAAGAAAGAAAAAGAATGAAAGAAGAAAAAGAAACTTTCCTGCCCTTTTTTGACCTAAGTTCACCTTAGGTCAAAAGAAGAAAAATTTAAAAATTTAAAAAATTCACCCCTAGTGGTAGATATGGATTAACCGGCTTTGCATTAGTTCCTATGGGAACTAATGCTTCGACTTAAGAACAGTGCCTCGATTTAAGAACAAAAAACAGCAGATACGGATTAAATGGTTTTCAATGCATTCGTATGAGAAATAGTGCTTCGACTTAGGAACGTTTCAACTTAAGAACGCAGTCCCAATACAGATTAAGTTCTTAAGTCGAGGTACCACTGTACTTTGTTATACTGCAGAACATACTGTGCAATATTCCACCCTTGCCAAATATAGCACATTGCTCTTTGGGGATCTCTTCAAATACAAAGTGTATCTAGACTGTAAAAACAGTACATAGAACACAATTGTTCTGTGTACCCCATCATTAGCACAGTAGTTTCTCCAGTCTTTCTCATTTAGTTTTTTATTTATATGTTAGTACTTTCAATTCAGATGAACAACACAGTAAACTTACTAGGGGAAGAATTGACACTCTGGGGAATATCTAGATAAGGAGAGGAAAACTCATGTCCAATAGAACACATGTACCCTCAGGCTGTTTCTGTGACCTCTGGAGCCCCCAGCTTGGCACCATTTAAAAAACAACAACACTGACAGAAGGTGCTAGTTCTCAGATTCACTGAAGCTGCTCACCACTTACCTAAATTCTCAGAACAAGGACGTAAAGCAGAAACAGAATACTATGCTTACAAGGAGAAACAATTACAGGCATTTTGTCTCAAACATATGGACTTCTGATCAAATTCAAATAGTGTGGGGAGAACGGAATATTTCTTTCTTTCTCTAAGGATTGCTTCTCCAATCAAAGCCACCGCTTTTTCACACTGCATTCAGGGAAGAAGTAGCTCAGAAATTCTGATCAGAACAACTGGCCTACATGAGAAGCCCATGTGCACTCACACTAGTTCAAATCAAATTCACAGCTTCCAATAGCTTTATTTTAATGAATATACTGTATATGCGCTTGCTCCAAAAAATGGCCATATTGTTATTGTTTTGATTTATATACCACCCCATGTCTCAGCTAGTTTCCCCCTTCTTAAGAGAGCAGTCTGTGATCTTGTTTGTATGTGAACTACCTCCTGAACATTAAAAATGCTAAAACAACATTGTAAAAGTGGCACTTGTGAAAACTACAGAAACTACATTTAAATGAAGTTCAATTAACTCAGTCTAGCTCCAACAGATAGCAGTAAACTGAAGAAAGGTAAAGGCGCTACCAGTTCAGAATTACAACTTTCCTCTTGTCATCTTTCGGTAGTAATATATGCACATCTTCATATCTCACAGCGACTTCAGGACAGACATGTGATTGCAGAATTCTTCATACTTAACTGTTCTGAAACGTCATGTTCTTTTACAGCAATTCTGATATTCTCATTTTCTGTTTTAATGGCTTTAACATGGGCATGATGTAACTGGAGCCCTGCTGGCCAAATGCTAAACCAAGGTTTGTTTCATTCAGAGGTCCTTTTTGCACTTTTGACTTTCATCCTCCACCTTCAATACCAGAATGGAGCAAATGAAACAGCCCATATGGACCTGACTTGAAATATGGATAGCTACATATTCTGAACTGTTTCCACAAGTAAAAGAAAATGAAAAGGCCTTCACTGATGCTAGCTGTGAGATTTCAACCTGGGACTCATAAAATATAATAAGGTTGTTTTTACTACCTATCCAGTTTATTAGCTAATAAAAGCAGTTTAGCATATTACATTTCACTGACACATATTTTCAAAGGAGGACTGCAGATCTGTGTAACATACCATTTACCCCTGAAGTCACCTAAACATTATTTTCTTACCCTTTTTAATCTGCCAAACTGAATTCTCAGCTACAAAACAAAATGAATTTATTCTGTTGGCCACAGAGTTATAAAACATTGTAAAATATTGTGTTCTTATACAAAATAAAATGAGTTTCTGCTGTCAAAAAAACTATGTCAAGTAAGGGAAAATAAAGGATGAATTGCTGCTTTCCAAGCAGCAGTACTAGCAAAAGCACAACAGTACCTGCTAACATGTGGTGTCGTTTACTAAGAGCGATCCCAAACACAAATGGAATCCAAGGCACTAAACACAATAAGATGTGATTGCATCTTCATGGAGGTACAACAGCTGTTTGAAGCACATACTGCCAATATGATCAATGTTAAGAAAAGTATTATAGGTAGTGGAAATTTAAGCGGAGGGTGGGGCATTGAAGCTTTTTGGCAGGCAAACAGCAATAAAGAAAAGCTGGGAATTATGCCAAGGAAGCAAAGTTAATAACTTACTGGGGGCAATGGTGTGGGTGAAACTATCAGATCTTTAAACCCAAATTCATCTCCAACCAACCCAAAGTTGTCATTATTCCATCAACAAGTATATGTCTATAAAATTATTGAAAGAAGAAATGCTGAATCATACATTTTTCATTACTGGATAAGAAAATGACACTGGTTTAGGATGCTGTTTTTTTTCCCGAAAGGTCTTTCGCAGCACTGTTATGGGTTGTGCACCTTTTAAAGGTCATTTATCCCACAAATGGAGACCAAAAGTTAAGAAATCAGTGGCACAACATCCTCTCTGACAGCACTTCTGATCTCATCTGCACACATTTGAGATCCCCCACTGCAGGGGAAAGTTTTGCCCTCTGTGTGCAACTGAAAATGAAATGCATTATTGAAGTGGAAAATTACAGAAGGCAAGATGCTGCTTGAAGTCAGTGCTCTGTAAGCTAGAAAACATCCCAGCTTTGAGAATTCACACAGAAATTAGGTGAACACTAAGCGCCCTTGAGGTTTCCTCTCCTTTCTACAGCACCTGCTTGAAAGCATCCCCTCTGCAGTTCTATGCAATGTAAGATTACATACTGCAAACAAAAGCCCATTTTGCTTAGTTGTAGGAAGCATACTTTCATTGCAGCAGGACTGAGTTGAAGTTATTTGACATCTGACAATATGAAAGGAAAGGAGGCTTAAACAGGTATGTCTTCGGGACAAGAACTATCTCCTGTCTATATCAGTGTACACTCAACAGCGCAGCACACTGTCTTTATGTCAATAAATGGCCTGTGTGTTTTGTAAATGTCTGGCCTAACTATATCATTCCTTAGTGATGTAATCAGGTTTTACCTGGGTCATCTTGGCAAGGTCCAGTGAAGGTCTTTGCTCTTTTACCTCTTCAGGCCGCCGCCGCTTAATTCCAACTTTCTTGTCATTAAGGACACATGGCTGGGACCGACTTCGGGAAAGCCCATTAGAACGCCTTGTCAGCTCTGGGGTTGAGGCAGGTGTGCTATTTGCTGAGGGCAGACAATATTCCGAAAAGGAAATCTGATCATGGGAACAGGAGAGTGAACGTTGGATATCAACCCTGCTAATCTCTTCAGAGCTGTGATCATTTCCCCAGATATCGCTTGTCTGTCCATGTGTGGCCGATCTTCTCATTCCTTGGCATGGCTGACACCCAAATCTGTTGCTAAATCCAGACTGGTCACAAGATGAGGAAAGAGCATTGGACCTGGAAGGAAGGCTAAAGCTTGAACTCCTCTGCATGGTTGCGAATCCATTGGAGTAGCGCTGAACACTACCCCCACTATAACACCGCCTCTTCTCTACGGGAGTCCAAACCTTTGACCCTATAGGCCTCCATGAAGCCCTGCAGCTAGACATCTCGTCAGAAAAGGAAAGTGACCTACATTGCCGTTTGCTGGGAGGTGCTGAGGGGTTGCCATTGTGGTCACTGAGACTGAGGTCTTTGATCAAGTTAGTCACTGAGCATGTGCTAGCTGCCTCTCTCTGCCATATGGAGCTTTCTTCGCTTTTATCGGGCAAACAGTCCCAAATGTTGGTGCTTGGCTGCTCAATCTGAAGGGGGCACTTCCTGCTGAGATCTCGCCATCTGTCATTTTCTAGTTTTGAAACGATAGAAAGATATACATTCATTAATGCCAATTAGTATTATGGTTCACTTGCCACATCATTAATTTGAAAAACACACACACACTCATGCACACCAAAAATCTCCTGGGACACTTCACCACAAATCAGTTAATCTTTATGACTCAGCTTCATAAATATTATGAATTAGCATGATAAGTAATTATTTTAGGATGGTGGGAGAGACAACTTTCTAAGCAACAGAAACAACAGATATTGTTGAAGAACTAACAATAAAAAAGAAGAACAAGCTGAAATATATCCTTTGTGTGTGTTTTAAAGGAACCTTTTTTTAACATATAAAAACATGGTTATCTGAGACATTTTGTGTTTAAAATTTAAGCACAGGGTTTTAATATGATTACAACAGTTTAGTGAAGATCAAAATTCAGAACTCACATAGTGTTGTTGACAAATAACAGATACTAAACTTTGATATAATTCAGTCTATAAAAACAATGCTTGTTCTGGAATATGGTTTTAGGTATATACAGCAGTCCTGTCAAAAGCAAATCTCCAAATGCTGTCCCCACCCCATGGCAGTCCTTCTGAACATGCTTTAGGACATTGCTGAACCAAACAGGCTGTACTGCAGAGAACTGAAGAAGGTGGGGGGGGGGATCCTTGAAAACTGAGTAAGAGCTATTTAATGGAAAGTACTTCCATACAATTTGAGGGGGCGGAATCCAAGTTCCCCCTTGGCCCCTACGTCATAGCCTGATTAATCACAATCCCTCAGCCCTGTATAGCATTTTTAGGAGGTAAATGGCTGCAGAGGGGCAAAGGAGGTGGGAAAGTCCCCTTCCACCAGATTTATTACGTACACCAAAATATGGATCTATTTCCATGTTTTCTAAGAATACAATTATAGCCTCCACACATTAGAGGTCAAAATGTTTGCATTAGTTTCATGCTCCAGCCTGTTGGATTACCTACCAGGCTTCTCACATGTTGTTCATATCGTTTCTTTTAGGAAACAAGAGCAATTACATTTTGTTCCCATGGGAACATGAATAGAAAGATGAACAGTGCACACCATTTTGAATCCACATCAATCCCTTGTTGACAGATATAACGGACAAGAATTACAGTTTTTAAAAGGACTGCAGAAGATTGGAAATCCAAAACACTTAGGAAATCACATATGTTAGTTATTTCAGGACAGGGGTGACCATGTGCACACATTCAGGTAACCCAGAAAATCACCATCGATCCAAACCAACTGCTTATCATTCAGTTTTGTAAACTGATACACACACTAAACACACAACCGTTAACTGTTAGACCTCCATGCAAATGTATTCAAAAGGAAAGTGTAGATACTGAATTAGGAAAAACAATCAAACTATTCAGCGAAACAAGGCTCTAAGGAATCCAGTACTGCCAATGGTGAATGTACAGTAATGCACTTCCAGTAACACCACAATATTCAGAGTCAGAAAGTTCACATTTAGGGCCTCAGAAAGATGTACTGTAAATAAGTGCTTGCTGTGCCCAAAAACCAATCTGCTGAAATTGTTTGTGGATGCAGCTATCCTGCCTAGTTTAGAATATGACTTTTTTTTCTCGCTCTCATGAACACAAAGCAAAGCAAGACACATATACTGTATTAAACAATCGCATCTAGGTTTAGACGTCATTTATTTCCCCATCATATTAACTGCAGCCAGTAGAGCATTCTCAGGTCAGGCCATAAGACAAAAGAAACAGAAATAGAAGCTAGTTTATTGGCAACCTGCCATAACCCTTGGAGTCTAAAAGTCACATTTAACAAAAGATTCTGGTAATCCTACACAAGAGGCTACAGGATACCTCTCAGGCACTCCTTTATTTCTACTCCTTTCTTTGATTTCTGCACAAACTATAAAAGCATAAAAGAAACAAATTAATGGGGAAAAGCCTTACCTTGAGCAGCACTTCCTCCCCCTTTACTTTGAAATACTAGCTCCCTTCTACACTATTATACAAATTACTTTCCTCTACATAATCTTACATTTCTGTTGGGATTTGAAGGAAGCACAGTCCCAAATGATCAAGGTAGACTATAGGGAGTCTAAGAACTAGAGCCCCAAGTGCTTTGAGGAAATATGAGTAGATATCCTTTTGACAGAAAATATGAAATACCATTTTTATTCTATTGAATGATAAACGGCATCATACATGATGATCAATGACCATTTCTGTTTCTCTGTACAGTATATACGACTACATATTACATCAGAGGGATGCTGTTAGATGAAGCCTAAGATAATGGCAAAAGGTATATTCATGTGATTTTTATACATTTTACCAATCCCAATTCTAGTTATATGCTATAAATGCAAAAATTCTGAAGTCTCTGGACCCAAATTATTGTTTAAATTATTAACCTTAAATAGTAGCTTCTCGGGAATTTCAAATTGTTTAAAACTCAAGTTTATTTGATTAGTTAAACCATGAAGACCATGGGGATTTGCAAGGGGGTATCACACGTCTTTTCAAAGCAACTGATCAGAAAGAGTTGTTGTTGGCAAAATCACTCTTCTTTCTTTCTCTTTCACATTTCTGTATCCAGTTCCAATTTCAAGGCCATGGTCTGTTTCCAGAAACCACTACAGTGGTGCCTCAACTTATGAGCTTAATTGGTTCCGGAACTCTGGTCGTATCTCGAAATGGTCATAAGTCGAAGCACCATTTCCCATAGGAATGCACTGAAATGCAATTAATCTGTTCTGGTCGAAGGAAAAAAATCACACACACACACCCAAAAAAGCCTTCAAGACCCATCGGAAATGTGATTAATCCCTTCTGGCTGACCAGGGTGGTGGGGGGGTGGGAGAAAAGCAAACAAAACATGCAAGACCCTTTGGAAATGCAAAAAAAAAAAAAGCAAGAAGCAAACAAACCGTGCAAGACCCATCAGAAACGTGATTAATCTGTTCTGGCAACGGGAAAAAAAGAAAGAAAGAAAAGCAAACAAACCACGCACAACCCTTCAGAAAAGCAAAAAAAAAAAAAGCAAGAAGCAAACAAACCGTGCAAGACCCATCAGAAACGGGATTAATCTGTTCTGGCAACGGGAAAAAAAGAAAGAAAGAAAAGCAAACAAACCACGCACAACCCTTCAGAAAAGCAAAAAAAAAAAAAGCAAGAAGCAAACAAACCGTGCAAGACCCATCGGAAATGGGGGGGACCCAAAAAGCAAACAAACTCTGTAAGACCCACCGGAAATGGGGGGGGGAAACACCAAAAAAACAAACAAACCCTGCAAGACCCATCAGAAATGGGGGAAAACCCCCAAAAAAACAAACCCAGCAAGACCCATCACAGCACTGAAACATAATCCCACCACCCAGCCCAAAACCATGCTGCAAAACCCAATCAGAACAGTTTTTAAAAAGGAGAAAGCAGCAGCTTACCAGGCAGTCTGAAGCCTCCTCCAATCGCACTCACACTAACTGCTGGGGCGAAAGAGCTACAAAGAAGCAGCCTCTTCGCCACCAACTGTTAGCAATTAGAATTCCCCGCCTTTTTGGTTGTAACTTGAAGCTCCGGCCGCAAGTAGAAGCAAAATTTTGCAGCCAGAGCTGGTCATAACTCAAAATGGTAGTATGTTGGGACATTCGTAAGTCGAGGCACCATTGGGATAATGATAGATAGTCCGTGTTATCTAGGAAAAGCTTGTTCAATGTAAGATTTGGTTTCCTTGCTAGATATACTATCCTAGTAGAAGATGGTTTTCATATTTGGACACAAGCAAAACGCAGTTAGACTTGGGCTCATATGCTCCCCCATTTCACTGCCACTGTGTCAAAGAGAAGGTCAGAAGTTTTTGCTCCTATTTTAGACTACCACTACCTGGCAGGTCATCAAAATTCTAAACTGTGTTTAATGTTAACAATGATTGGCTTGTTTCAGCTAGCATCATAAACAATTGTTTGAAACTGGTTTGTTTCCACTTATTATAGGTAACAACAGCTTGCCTGGGTTGAGATGACAAGATACCCTCAGTTCTACTGAACCAAATTCGTTTGAACTCTCCCTCACAACTATACCAAAGGAAAAGTGCAAGTGTGAAGGCATGTAGGACAGAGGCTCATCAAGCTTGCTCTCATAATACTAAACTGTGATTAAATGTTATGTCCCAAACTTGCAAAAACAGGATCAATTAGTATAATAAAATAAACTACTTATGTTCTTAGCCTCACCAAACATATGTTTAGGTCTCAGAAACAAACCCAATATCCTAATTTTAGACAATACTATTTTCCCTTCCTTCCAGATAAAAAGTATTTAATGTAAGTGCATGTTTATTAACATATAGTAGAAAACAACTTGCAAATCCAAAATATTCATGCTGTAATCCCAGGTCTGTAAATTAAGACACCTATTTTAAGGCCTGTTCAGATACATTATGCTTGCTCTCCTTTTCAAAACCATAAAAGAAAAGGTTCTGGACAACGTGGGAGCGTATAATTCCCCCACCCCACAAGAAATGCTTGAGGCTTGTGGGTGAAAAGACACTAACACTGGAACTACATCATAATTCAACAAGAGCTGCTTATTCATTTCAACATCTCACCTACATCTGTTGTGGTTGACAGCTATTAAAGGTTGTGACTTAAATACGGCCGACACTAGCTTTGTTAAGTAACAAACATAAGAAAAAAAGTAGAGAAAGGCAACAGATTCTGCACTATTATGAGGCAGTGCAGCTTTTTTTCTTTTACTTTTCTCTCTCCTCTCTCTCAAGAGACAAAGGAAATCAGAAGATTGGAACTGAAACTGCTTGTGCATGAAATATGGTTTAACCATATCTGAAAGCTCATTTAACAACCTATTCAATATCAGGCAAAAAAGAAAGACAGAAACTTCACTTTGAGAACATTCTCTATTTAAAACTTAGCATTATTAGTGTTCATAGTGAAATCCAAGCTGCTAGATTGAGGGTTTAATTGTGCCCTGAATCGAACTCAACTTCAACATCCAAACA